AATGCCTCGTTATATAGTCCAACTGCTATATGTTAATTATTTTTGTGGTTTCTGCCTTTTTGTCGTTTTATTATTATGTAGCTGTTGGAGAGGAGATTTAATTCATTGCTTTTTCCCGTAACAACGAGGTCACAGGTGTGCGTTCTCTCTGCACAGGTACTCGAGCTCGTCTGAAGACGTGCAATTTCTTCAGCAGGTGTTGGAGCTTTGACTCGTGATGCAGGGAGGCTGCCAGGCTGAGTAGCAACTGGAGATCTGAAATCGTCTCTTATTATTTTCTTCCTCTTTTTCTTTACTTTGTTTTTTTTTTTTTATGAGCTTATGTTTTTGGACAGCGGCAAAGACTACGGACCAGCAGGAGAAGATGTGCTGCTGTTTTATTGGGCACAAAGTGAAACAAGAGACTTTAGAAAGCAGTTTTGTTTCTTTTGAGCGAGGTTTTATAGGCTACAATAGAACACCTCTTTATGGTTTTAGGTCAAATCAAAACCTTTACTTTTTAATTAAGCTGCTGTTCTCCGGAATACATCCAGCCAAACGCTAAAAGTGCGATGCATTTTCTCCTTTTAAAGGCCAAAGCACAAGACGAAGTGACATGCAAAAATCTTCAAACGAAGCTTTTAAATCTCCTTTTGTTTGTCAGTGTCCAGCCCCCTGCACCTTTCTTTTCTGTAGCTTTTGCGTTCTCTCAGATTTGGGGGGAAAAACATTTTTAATAAACCTGACTTGAATTCCATCCTGTCAGACGTATCACTGGTTTCTTTTCCGGTTTACGAGTGCAGAACGTGAGAAGTTGAGTGAACTGAAATGAGAAGCGCCTCTCTGCTGATATTTCTGTTTACCGTCAGAACAAAACGAAACTCAAAGCTTTTGTCTGCAATCACAACTCTCATGTAACCTCCGGCACTGGTCTGCAGTGTCGTGCAGAACTGGACTTTTTGGGTGAACTATTTGTTGCTTGTTGGAAATAAAACCTTGCAGAATCTGTTCTTTTAAAGTAGCAATGGAATCGTTCTTCACATACTGTAGGTATCATCTGAGCTGAGCTGCATTGTAACTTCAGGCAAACTGCTGTCAGTTTCTGTGGAGCGAGACCTGCCTATTTTATGATAAGTGAGAGAGGTGTTTTGTATTTGTATTACTGAATAAATTATTTCGAAACACTTGGCATGTTGGTTCTTTTTTCTCTCTCCATATGATGACATAATTGTATTCTTTTAGGTGATCTGTGTATAAAACTGTGACGGGTTAGTTGATCGGAATTGCAAGAAACGTTCTTGGTTATGGACGAGGTGTTTTTCCAGTCAGTGCTGGGACTCTGGTGACACTAGTCCTCCTCCAGATGCCATCGATGCAGTGGCACCCTTAAACTCTTGTTTAAATTCCTCTTGGAAAAATTGCGCTCTCCTTGGGTTCACTTCGTGGTTTTCACTTGGTGTCCTATAAAATAAGCATTTACAGCATGCGGCTTTGCATCTTTCTTTTAATAAATTAGGGCAACAAAAGAAAAAAGCTGTTTCAAAGAGGCTCGGGTAAATAGACTGGTTCTTATATAGCACTTTTTCTATTCTATCTGAGCACTCACAGTGCTTTGTACAACATGCCTCATTCATACAAATACTTCATTCTATGTCAAATTTACATGCACCTTGGGGTTAGTATTTTGCCCAAGGATGCAGCCAGAGATTGAACCACCAGCCTTCCAATTAATAGTTGACCCTCTCTACCTCCTGAGCTACAGCCATCAGGTGGGACTGTCTGTTCAGATTTCATGGTTTCATATAGTGTATACTGTGCTGGCCTACGTTTTTATCTGTTAAAACTCCAAAACTGACTGCTCAGTTTGGGCAGCATACATTCAGATTTGAGGTTTTGAGTAAACAAATTTCAAGTAGGTCTAATCTACCTCTGCAAAACTTATAAAAGTTATATTCAGCATCATAGAAAAGGCAAAGTTGTACATTAGGTGGAAATGTGGAACTGTCTTGCTGAGGGGAAACTAGTTCTTCATTTCAGGCTTTGCAGTGGGCTTTGCAAGCTAGACGGGCCCTGTAACAGTGTGTTCTTTCTTTCATATCAGTTGATCTGATTTTCCAGCTCCTATTAGATTCAGAATGACAGCACACACTGTTCCTACTTCCCAGCCTTGGGAGTTCATATTTAATATAGGCATCCTTAGTTATCTTGGAAATTGTATAAGATTCCTGATATTTCTGGATTCAGATGTTAAGTAGGCTGTTTTCAAAAACTTGATGTTTTGGGGTAACTCAGCCTCTTTAAAAAAAAAACAAAAACAAAAAACAACCATTTACTCACTTACCTTTGTAATAAATATTATATAACATTTATTACAAAGTTATTTTCTAGCAAACAACAAATTTAAGTTTAATACAACATTTTGTAAAAATGTTTTGGCTTATTTTAAATATTTTCTACGTAGAAATATGCATTGCGTTGTACTATGTATTTATGAGATGTCAAGAAGAAAGCAAGTAAACAAACACAAACAAAATTACAAAAAACGGAACAAATGTTTTCTCAAAAAGCGGCGGAACGATTTTTCCGGCGGACAACGGACAACCAGCTACTTAGCAGCCGTTGGAAACAAAACCTGAGTCTAAAGCAAGTTCTCATGTTACCAGGTTAAACCCCAGCTACATTGTAGTTCCTCACATAGGCGAACACCTCCATCCAGTTTTTGCTGTTTACTGTTTTGACCTAGAGGCTGAAGAGGTTTGTGGTGAAGATGGGAGTGCCAAAATTTTACCGCTGGATTTCGGAACGCTACCCTTGTCTCAGTGAAGTTGTCAAGGAACATCAGGTAGGAAAACAGCGGTGACTGGTTAGCTTCACAGACCGCTGTCATTGGTAGCCACAGTGCTAGCGTAGCTAGCTGTTCGCTATCAGAGAGCTATAGCGGGCCGCGGAACTAAAATTCCACGTAGCTTACCAATGGTTTTCTGGCGAATGGACAACTCTGCTTTTAGCACACATTCTTCACTTCATCCTTTTGTTAAACACAGGATAGGCATGACGTTATTAACCAAATTCCATCACTAATGTGCTATTTTGGTCTCCAATATGCGCTTATTCGCACTAAACAAGTAAAATGTTAATGGTAATTTTGGCCTTTGTTGGTCAGGAACATTCTAAACAATAATAAGCTCTTACAGTTGGCCAACTAACTGATTTTTATGATAACTAGAGATCTATAGGGGCTCGGGTAGTTATTGCTACCAGCTGGTTAACAGTAACTGCGCTTTACAATGAACTTGTTTGAAATGTCAGAAGTATGAGCTCAGCCTGTGGGCCACAGCTCGAATAACGTGAGAGTTTAGGCTACTTGAGTAACTGCGGGGGGACTTGAACCACTTTCTACACTCTGAGCAGAAAGGAAGCCGCTATTTCACTCCCCCAGCAGTAGTTTCATCAGCGCACATTGTTCAGTGTCACCCTCCTTACCTCAGACAGCTTTGCATTTGTATTAAAGCAGTAAATAACCACCTTTAGCAGAAGATTGGTAACAGTAAATATGGGAATTATGTTTCATGTCTTTACCGGTGTAAATAAAACGGAACAAAACATAAAGGTCTGATGTTATGAAAGGTGGATGGCATACTCATGAGACTGTTTCTGATGTGTCAGGTGTTTTTGACTGTCAAATATAACCTCCTTTAACTCATCAGCCTCCTAAAAACATCTGCCACACCTGAAAGATCTCGTCATTGCGAGTGTTTACAGATAAGTCATGTTCCTGAATGTACTAGGTATGTGATCAGTTTGTCTTTGCATTCGTTTCTTTCTGCCCTCAGATTCCAGAGTTTGACAACTTCTATCTGGACATGAACGGCATCATCCACCAGTGTTCTCACCCAAACGATGAGGATGTCCACTTTCGCATTTCTGAGGAAAAGATTTTCGCAGACATCTTCCATTACCTGGAGGTGCTCTTCAGGATCATCAAGCCTCGCAAGGTTTTCTTCATGGCGGTGGATGGTGTGGCGCCAAGGGCGAAGATGAACCAGCAGAGAGGACGTAGATTCAGGTTGTGATGAATGAATAAATGCAAATCCTATCATAATACTTGTTGAGAATCACTAAATTTAGGATATCGGGAGTAGCTTTTCTTGAACTGACCAAATAAAGAGATGGAATTTTATTAGCATGCCTGTACCCTGATGCTGAATCCAAACTATAAATAATGCCACGTTCTCTCTTAGTTATCTGATTAAAGTGTCATGTCTGTTCTCAGATATATTTAGAGATGTTTGGTATAATTATGTGATGTTTCTGAGGCTGCAGCTGTAAACCTGAGCCCTATGTGAGTTACCTTATAAGGAAGAATGGGCAGCAAACAGGCTTGAGCTAAAATACAACATTTAGTGCTTCAGTGTTACAGACAGGGGGGGAAACACAGACTGCAGGCAGAGACACAGCCTGAGACTTTGAATTTGACCTTCTGTCTTTTATATCTACTTGTGTGTGTGTGTGTGTGTGTGTGTGTGTGTGTGTATGTGTGTGTGTGTCTAGGTCCGCCAAAGAAGCAGAGGAAAAGATAAAAAAAGCTTTGGATAAAGGAGAGGTGCTTCCCACAGAGGCTCGCTTCGACTCCAACTGTATCACTCCTGGTAAGGAAGATCTGAAGCTTCATGCAAAGATGCTCATCACACAGATCAGAACCACCTGATACAGTTTAGCACCTGAATTTATTTTTGTGTCACTGTGTTTTTTATATGTGTACTGTATGTGATATTTTTATT